ACTAATTAACCCTTTGCCCTCGACGATTTTTTGGCTAGGAAAGAGTATAAATTCAAAGATTCTCTATTAAAAATCTAACGATACTTTTTTGATTAGATAATTGTAGAATTATTTGATTTCAATACCTCGCACACATCGATATATTAATTAATATTCATCTTCCAAATTTTATGAAATGGTCACCTCTCGAGTGCAAAGGGTTAAAACGTGACTTCGATATTTAAATACCAAATATCTTCTTATATTTTTCTTCTCCAACCTAATCCAAATTTCTATTCTTTTATTTACCATTTGCTATTTAAAAGAACAGAATAGAAATATAAAATTCGAAATATAAAATTCGAATACGACCCGGAATTTCCCGAGTGAAAACAGTGTTCTCACCGAATAAATATATCCTTCGATTTTCCAGAATCGGGAGATCACGTTCGCGTTGTCCTTAAAACGGCTATCTATTCATGGAAGAGCCGTTGGAACACGTTCAAGGGGATTCCACAAAAGAACCGACGTTAATTTCGCGATAAGGAAGAACGTACGAGCCGAAGATTCGGATTGTTGCGCCGTGCTCGTTATTTGCATTCCGCCAGAGAGATTTCTCGGTAAAACGATCTCGCGGAGGTATCCAGGAAGTCGAGCGCGCAGGAAGTTTGGAAAGTGGACGTTTACCGACCACGCTAAATATTTTGTCTGCTTGCTCATTCGACGACGATGATTCGTTGAATAACGCCGATAAAAATCAACCGAATGCTTACAAAGGGGAACAAACGATCGAAAGTCGAAGATGTTCAGTTTATTCTCTTTTATTCCATTTTCATTTATTTCCCAGATTTTCTGATCGCCAGTTTGGCAGATCTATTGGCAGATCTAGTGTAAACAGGATTCACTTTTCGAATTGCGAATACCAGGTGTAATTTCAAGTATTGGATAATAATAAAATTACTACAGCAGTGAGATATTAATCTCCACGAAGGAACAGGTGATCGATTATTGTGTCAATCGATATTAATGGTTCTTCGTAGCAACTGCTCACCTATATTACAGTATTAACCCTTTGCACTCGACGATTTTTTGGTCAAAAAAGGATAGTTCAAAGATTTTTTGTTACAAAGCTGACGATATTTTTCTGAGCAGTGAATAAGAAATCGTATGATAATTAACACGTAGAATTATTTGATTTCGATACCTCGTACATCGTTACATTATCTGAAATTTGACATAGTTATGAATATAGTTATGAACATAGCTTCGAAATTTAGTCAAATGGCGACTGAAGAGCGCCCCTCGAGGGTTCGCAAAGGGTTAAGAATTCTTTCTAAAAATTAGCGTTTTCTTTATAAGGAGATCATTTGACCCCTTATGGTAAGAATAAGTATGTGTAATTTACCGGTACGTTT